GGAACGGTCGTGATATTTCAGAGTCCACAAAGTTTTTAACAGCTCTCTTTATCATGCTTTATTTGCTCTTTGGATAACTCTCACTTATTCAATTTATGTTGTTGTTGGGTACCTCAATTTAAATAATTGTGTTTCATGCTTTTTATTTCTTGCGTTAAGCTAGAAATTTTATTTTTGTCCTCATTATATTTTACATAAAAAAAAAAAACTTGCAAAATTGAGCCTCGCTTGCCAATACCTATTAGAATCCTCCAACAGTGATTCAAGTTGTCTTTGTAGGAATTGTTGCAACAAAGAGAACAAAAAATCATATAATGCGCTATGGAAGACCTTTCAGTTTAACATTGCTTTCAATATATTCTTTATTTTATGTCAACTTAAAAAACTTTTATTTTCTTAGGATTTCTAGATAAAATGAGATGTAAATTATGTTTCTTTTTTCTCCTCTTCTCTGTGCATAGGCTTGGTATTTCCATCTATTTTTTTTATTCATCAGTGTTCTATCCCACTAAGTTATATAGTTTTAAACTGCAAATTCTCTCTTTAACTGGGTATTCACTGCTGATAGTAGTTGGATTTGTTTTCAATTAAAACATTTTTAATTTAAATATTTCATGGTTCAGAAAATCTAATGTTCCTTTCAATGTAATTATTTATTAGGTATTTTCTTAATACTACTAAAGCAATTATTTAATCAAATTATCTTAATGGTCAATGTGAATGTGATGTTTTGGTTTTATTTGAGTTGTTGGTTGTGATTAAAGTGACTTGAAATAGAAAATTAAATAAAATAAATTAATTTGATTTGAGTCTAATTTAATAAAGCTGAAATTATATATTTAGTGTTTTTGTGTCCATTGTAAACTTTGGTATTCTGGTAAGAGTCGCACAAGAAATGGTGTAGGTGTAATTATAGATAAGAGTTTGAAAGATAATGTTGTAAAAATTAATAGAGTTGGTGATAGAATTATAGCCCTTAAGATTATCATTGATACTAAGAT